GCTTGCCATCACGTCGAGTGAGTCGGGATGTTCGGGGAGACACAAAGTGGGCTTGAGATATCGAAGTCTACGGAAGCCAAGCAATCTCCAGGGAGAGAGCAGACCCCACTACAACTAGTAGAGCCTGATGCGCAACCGCAGCTGTAGTCCTAGCAAGGCATCGCATGGTGCTACATTTGTCATCGTGTGGAGCGAGGCTGGGTCCGAGGTCGGTCAAAGTGGCTCAGGGTGACACATCGCCGAGGCGGAAGTCCCCTTTCACCAAAGGTTCGAGTGACACTGGAAACTCCCGTGCATCGCCGAGGCGGAAACGGGGTAACTGTGTAAAACAAGAACTTCGCGATGGCCTAATTGAAGGCTCGGACGTCCTCCCGAAATCGGAGAACAAAGGCCGGTGGCTCGGCGGCGATAATGGGCCGCATTCTCTCGTGTTGAGCAAATGCACTCCGCATTGCCGGAGAGAGCATGTTCGAAGTACATGCGAGTACCGCCGAGGCCTGCTCGCGGAAGAAGGTCGTCATCGGTTCGAAGTAAGGCATCTGCCCCGCGAATTGATTGAGGTTGCGGGCCGTGTGGCACCACATTCGGAGTCTGTTCAAGCGATCCTCCACCGATGTATGGCTCAGGTCAGCGAGAGACGCCGTCATGTTGTGCCACACCGTAGCATATGTGAGCGTAGTTCGGGGTTCCACGAAGTTGTTCGGGACTCCCAAAATCAACACCCTCTCTTGGAGGGTGTCATCCTGCGGTGTGTGGATCGGGAGGTCGAGGTACAATCCGAATTGGGTCAGATAGCTGCCGACAGTAGGGCATCGAAGAATTTGTTCGAGGTAGAGGATGCCGTCGTACGTGATTTGCCAGGGTGAGTCGAAGGCAAAAGAAGAGTACGGATGATTGCCGGGAGGTAGCATCGCGACATTGTGTCCTCCCACCGGTGTCATCGCCTGCAGGTTCGGGGACAACATCGGGCAGTTGTCGAAGTGTCGCAAAGTCTGGAAACCGAACACCGGCTCGTGTGTAATCGGTGGATTGGCGCGGACCTCGTCGAGCGATGTCCTGCCTTTGTCGACGACTTGAGAGTCGAGCCATTGCACTCGAAATCTTTCGAGACGAGACTGTCGTGGTTGTTGTGGCTGAAGCGAAGTTGGCACGCTCGTATAGGGGCTTCGCAGTGGTGTCGAGATCATCGTCGAGGCTGCACCCCCGGACTGTGTTGATGTGGTCTGGAGTAACTGTCTCGGGTCTGTTCGGGACAGATCAACTGCGGGATGCACCGAAAACCTCGGCGTCCCGCCAGATCCAGTCGGGTTGCCGGATTCGGGGTATAGAGGCGCCTGCCTGGGCATGGCCTTCGTCTTATAGCTCCCACGATAGTCGTGGTGGTTGCTGCGCCAAACGACGGGTTGATCCACTCGGAGTCGCTCGGGGGGTTCATGACCTTCGCCGTGGGCGGATCGATCGAATGCATCGTCGAAGCACTCGTAGTCGCCGCAGTCGGAGGTGTCGGAGGCTCCGTGGTGTCATCGTCCTCATGCCATGGGTCCGGAGACGCAGGTCGAGGCTTTTGTGTCGGTGTAGGCGTGGGAGCAGCCGCTGTCGAGGCCGCGATCTCATCCGGAACTTCGACGATCACCAGGGTTTCGTCGAGCCATCTCTTGGCCGGCGACTGTGATCTTCGAGGAAACCTCGCTGGTGACAACGGTCGTTGTGACCGCGTCGCTGCTCCATCGCCGGGGCGGAAGGCATCTCGGGGGCCGCGACCGAAGCTCGGGGCGTCGGATATGAAGTTCTCATCTACAGCCGTGGGGGGGGTAACCCCCCTGAGGGTTCGAGCTAAACCAGTAGGGGGTTTGGAAAAAACGAGGCGATTTTCAAGTTTGTCATCAAAACGACTGGGGGGTTCGTTTTCGGAGCCATAAAAAATTCAAATTCGGAAAAAGTGGTCTGGCCACTTCCCATACCAAGTACTTGCACCGGGGAAACCCGTCAGCTCAGCTAGGTTGCTACGACCCCAGCAGACACGCAAGTGCAAAATCGCTGCCTGCCAAAACCCACGATATTGCCTTCTAGGGTCTCGAGCAGGCCTACTAGCCAGGCACACATGCTTTCACATGTTGTTTTAAGCATTCCCACTGAAATCCACACACACACACACACACACACACACATCAGAGCACAATCCCAAAGCCCGAACCCCTAGACGCCTAAACAAAACACGACACACACACACACACACACACACGTGATGCACCTTTTTCGCTCTCACCCCACGAGCTCTGTGCAAAAAAGTTATGCCTTATGCATAATTGTTCCAGCGAGCCATCATGATGGTATCCAGAGTGTCAGTCGGCTGGGCATCTTGACCGCAATCGATCGCAGGAGGCAACACCGGAGGGGCCATCCCTTGGAAAGGGATGACCTGGGTCTCGGGGAACTCTTCTGGATCTGACGCAGGCACCTCTACAGCAAGCACCTCTACATCCATGACACAACTTTCGTCGCACTCTGAAGCTGATGTCTTTTGCAAGACGCCGAGCAGTTCACCTAAGTCTTCGTTCAGCCCTCCGACCATGTCACTGGCAAACTTTGCACAGTTTTCCAGCTGGTGAATCCTTTGCTTTAGGACCCAGATGTGCTCTTCTCGGGCCTTTCGCTCCTCGAGGAGCTGATCAATATTTGCACGCATTGCAGTGATCAGATCTTTTTGCAGCTGCATCCGAAATTTCGCACTCTCCAGTTCCGCCTTGAGCTTTTGCTCCGGCGTCTCAGGAGTCGAAGAAGTCGCAGCTTCACGGCTCACCTTGAGATTTTGCTCCGGTGTCTCAGGAGTCGAATCACGGCTCACCTTGAGCTTTTGCTCCGGGTGTCTCAGGAGTCGAAAAGCTCACAGCTTCACGGCTCTCGAGATCTCTCGTGACAGAGTCCCAAGTCTCCTCATCAACTACGAGGCTTCTCTTCATCTTAGACATCAGCTGTGACACAGGAGTTTGAGCCAAAACCTCGGGGGTCAAAAAGAAAACACAAAGCAAAGGCTTAGCATCTCCATGGAAACAAATCGAAACTAATTTTCAGGCCATCGAGTTCATCTGATGTCACTGCCGAAGAACAGTTGCATATGCTAAGCCTACCATGTTGGCTGTCTGGGCATCCTCGCAATCGAACACATGAGGCAGCACGCAGTCTTCACAGCCGGCATGCGATCATGGCTGATCGAAGCTCGGGCTTCAGTCCATTTGCCAGACGAGCAATGCAGCTGCCATGGTGGCGGATATTATGCGAAATCATCGACTTCGCATAATAACCGCCACAATGCGGCTGGAACTTACTACAGCCAGCGGGCCAGCACCTCTGCCTTGACGGAGGCTACTACTCCAAGACATTGTCGTGGAGTTGTAGCCACCGTCAGGGGGGAGGTGCCATCCGTGGGTAGGAGGTGGCCTCGGCTGTGAGGGTTTCACCCTCCCAGACTGGCACCGGCAAACTACGCAGTCGTTTGTAACAAGGGTGCTCTCAGCATATCCTTGTGTGGTTGTGGCCTCAGACTCAGCAGACACTTATCATCTAGTCTTCAAATTAGAGAAAGCAGGACTTTGAGCCGAAACATGGTGGGCCAAAACCTCATCGTGCTTGAATGAACAATCGCTTAGCTTTTCAATGGACCCCCCTATGGAACCGAACTTTTCCTTCTGATTCATCTGATGCCACGGCAGTGGGTTCCCCAACAGTTGAAGAAAGAAGCACCCGGCTTGAAAGGATCATGGCTCTCCACAAGCCTGCTAGTGAAACCATGTTGTGCTGACCTGCAACACAATCCAACAGATTGTGTGCATGCCTAGCTTTTCCGTTCGTTGCCTCTTCAACGAACGCCCGGGGAGAAAACAATGGACCTCTTGTCCATTAGTCCAGCACGCTGAGGAAGTGGTTCAGAAGTTTACCTGTTCTTTTGGCACCCAGCTCGGGGGTGCGGGCGACCACCTTTGCAAGGCTTGTCGATGCCCATTTGCAGGAGCTCGCCGTCATTACGAACAACTTCAGCATGTGGGCTGGAATGCTTTCGGGGCTGTCTTCCTTCTCGACGTCGTACTCCGTGTTGATCATGATGTACACCATCCCTGGCGGCAGGACGATGGCCTGGCCGGAGGACAAGTTTGCAAACCACTCGCAGCGGCCAAGGAACTCTTGCGACGTGAGGGCTTTGAAGTCCCCGAGCTGTGTTTCCTCGCTGGCACGGAAGCCGGCGAAGAAAACGCTTGTCCCCTCGAGATGCACCGTCAGCTCTGGCAGGCTGAAGGCTGTGCTGGTGTCCACACGGCCGCCCATGCACTGGCAGAACATGGGCCTCCACAGGTCCAGCAGATCTTCATCCCCCGGAAGCGAAAGGCGGTCAGCGACTGCCACCGGCAGGCTCTTGGCGATGAAGCCGAGAACTTGCTTCGCAACTGCCTCTCGTCCGATCACCGCAGTGGTTACACCTCTGCCATCTGTCTTCATCTTCTCTCCTAACCACTGCTTCTGGACTGGTAGTAAACCAGATCCTGAACACTCTTGAGCAGGCCTGTGATTTGCTCGGCAGGGATCAGCACTGGGCCTTTGCCCGGCATCTGATCCAGCATATCATCCTGCAGATTGAACCACACCCCGTTGCTGCCTTTCTGAAGCTTCGCCCATTTTGGCTTCAACAGCTCCTTTCGCATCCAGCAGACACAATCCAGCATCTCCGGGCTGATTGCGACGTCAGCTGCGGCTTGCGACGAGGTGCCGTTCGCAGATGTGGCAGCGGCGAGGGCCTTGTTCTTTGCCTTCTTCTTGGCCAGCGAGTCCTTTTTGGCCAAAGCCTTTTTTGCATCGTTGACCAATCGTCGGAAGGCCTTCATCCTGTCCTTCACCTGGGTTGGTGGGTGAGCAAAAAACAAATGGAACAACAAAACGGTTCGACTGCGACCAACACACTACAAACCACATACGTTACCTGAAATCCTAAACCCCAAACCCCTTAAACCTTAAACCTCCAAATCAATCGCAGGCACCGCCTTCAGCTGTGGCCAGTCCCCAGGACCCTTCTTGCACGCCTCCGTGGCCTCCTTCAGGTAGTTGAGCAGCTCGTCATCGTCCTCCGTCGTTGCCATCTCCTCCTCCTTGATTTTCCGGTTTGCTGCGAGCTCAGGGATGGATTGAAGAAGCTTGCCCAAGTCCTCTTCGAGTGCATCCATTGTTGACTGGAACTCTTTCTTTGTTCCTTCGTCTTCCTCTGCCATCATTGCCTGAGTCTCTTCTCTCAGGCCGGTGAAGGCTTCCTGCTGCTTGCCGTGTGCGGAGGCAAGCATGGTCTCCTCCCGGGCATGGGCATTCTTGATCTGCAGGAAGAGCACTGCCCTAACGGGCTTTTTCTTGTCCTTGTTCTCTTGCCTTTCCTTGTCGGCTTGTTGCTTCTCCAGCACCGTTTCCATCCACCTTTGATCTCGCAGAGCCTCTTCCTGCTTGAGCTGATCGAGGTCTCGGGCGACATGCAGTCCCGGCACCGAGGCGTTTTCCATGCCTTGGTCGAGCATGGCCTTTTCGGTTGCCAGCCTTTCACCGGCCTTTTTGAGCCTCTGTGCTGTCTGCTCTTGGCAGACAGCCAGCTCGTTTTGGTCTGTGACGTCCATTCGCTGGCGAAGAGTTCCTGCTACGCTGTGCTCCTGTGCGAGCTCGCCCAGCAAGCCACCAAACTCCTTCAGCATCCAGACGCCTCTCAACTGTTTGCTCTCGGTGTCATCATCCTGACACCTTTTCAAGAACTTCGCCCGCCCATCCTCGTAGCTCTTCACGAGGCCCAAGGTCATCTCTCTGGCGACCCAGTCTTTCTCAAGCCACCACCTATCCTGCTCGCTGTTTCTCATGGAAGCCCGCCGAGTGTCTTCGACAACCCCGACGGCGGTGGCAAATGTTCTCTTCTTAGACACACCGCCACCACCACCGTCCTGGCGGTGGGACTTCTTTTCACTCCTGTACCACTCGTGCTGCTCTTCCTTCGTCATCTTCCCCAGCTGCTTCTTCAAGTCTGCAGCAGTCTGGCACTTGTTCAGCAGATCCTCCTCGTGAGCATTGAGCTCACCCTCTTTGGCTTTCTTCTGAGCCAAACTCTTCGCCTGATGGGAGCTAGGATTAGGGGATTAGGGGGACCCTTGGGGTACCCGTTAAGGGGGTCTCCCTAATAATACTACCTACCTGAGCGATCCTGAGCGATCTGCTTGTTCAAGATCCGCTCTGTGCCGCCGCACTCCTGGCAAATCCGGAGCAACTCGTTTCGTCCCGTTGCATGGGAAGTCGAAACAGTGGTGGGCTCGTTGCATTTGCGGCAAAGGAGTTCGCCGGTCCCATCCATGGCTGGTCTCGCTGACTTGCACAGAAGGGGCCAGGACACCAGGCCAGAGGGGTCTCGGTCAGGTGCTGCTGCTTGAACCAGCAATTGTTATTTCATTGTCAAGCCTAAGCCCTACACTCTAGTTGTCAGAACACACTTCCTGGCGACTGAAGGAAGTGCACCATCATGAAGCATGCCATCCGCCTGTATCGAAAACCTTTTGCACAAAGTGCACTGATCAGCTAAACTGATTAAAGAAACTGAGGCCTGCATTGCACGCACTGATCTAATTAACTAAATTAAGACACCGAATTGACTACAGACTATGGATGAGCTCTCCGGCAGTGACAGCTGTGCTTCTGCACTCTGCCATGAGAAGCTGAAGGCTGCCTAATCGAGATCTATGGCTTTGCATCCGCATGACCGACGCACTGCCAACTTGTCCAAATGGCTACTACGGTTCGCTCTGGGACTGGTCGGACTGGTACTACGACTATGGATGAGCTCTCCGGCGGCAGCTGTGGCTGGACTTTGGATATGATGAGCTCTCCGGCAGGCAGGCAGCTGTGGCCTGTCTTGTGGGACTATGGATGAGCTCCCCGGCGGCAGCTGTGGCTGGACTATTAATGGGACTATGGATGAGCTCTCAAGCGGCAGCTGTGGCTGGACTATTAATGGGACTATGGATGAGCTCTCCGGCGACACTCCTGCATCCGCCCACGGCTTGCCTTCTTTGCTATTGATGCCTGTCTTTCCCCGGAGACGCCTTCGCTTGGCAGCTGTGGCTGTGGATCTGGGACTATGGATGAGCTCTCCGGTGGCAGCTGCTGCTGCTCTTCTCGGACTATGGATGAGCTCTCCGGTGGCAGCTCCAGTGGCAGTTGCTGCTGCTCTTCTCGGACTATGGATGAGCTCTCCGGTGGCAGCTCCAGTGGCAGCTGCTGCTGCTTTTCTCGGACTATGGATGAGCTCTCCGGTGGCAGCTGTGGCTCTACGCACATTTCGGTTGGCAGCTGTGGCTGTGGATCTGGGACTACGGAAATTTTGCTTCCTGTGGACCCGACCCATGCTGCCTGTGGCTCTTAGGTCCTCAAATGCCATGTCCCACAACTGCTTTGGACTGGCTGCTGGAGGCGGCCGGCCTTCTGAAGTCACCCCGGCCCGATCTGCCAGCAGAAGCATCGGAGCCACGAGACATGCCATCACCAACGTGTGCATGCCGTTGCCGGAGGCTCTCTTTGCAGCTGCCCTACTGGCAAAAACTGTTGCTGTCTCTGCCGGGTGGCCCATGAGCAAGAACCTCTCCGGGATGGAGAGCATTCGGTGCAGCTCTTGTTTATCCCAGGTCTGTTGCAGGTCTTCCAGGCTCAATAGAAAAAGAGCCGGGCCGCCAGTCCGGAGGCTGCTGGTCTTGCCCAACTCGAACCGAGGACCGTAAGCATTCGTGGGGTCACGGTCCAGTTCTGCACAGGCCACACGAGGGCGGCCTTGGTCTTCAGACTGGGATGCCATGCCCTTGTACCTCTCCAGGTTCCTTTGCATCCCAACCGACAGCATGCTCGGGTCGGTGGGTGGCAAGCCTTGCTGCAAAAGTGACTCCAGTGTAACGGGCTTTCCATGGCCAAGCTGGTCCACTGTCACCACTGGCAAAGGGCCTTGGAACCCACGAGGCAAGCAGTCCAAACGAAGGCCTCGGATGAAAGTCCGCCGTCTCCGCATGGGCCCCCAATCAACAGAGTCTTCCACACGCAAATCCAAGTAGAACCACGGCAAACAGCACCTGAGGTGGTCTATCACCTGATCACAGTATGGGTGCCCCTGCAAGGTATTGGAGTTCTCCAGCAGAAACCAGAGCAAACAACCCCGGGTGCCCAACTCGACTACCCAATTCACAACTGTGTCAAAGGGAACCGATCGGGCATCAGAGGTGCCATGTCTTTGGCCAGCTGGGGAGAAGGGCTGGCATGGTGGCCCAGCCACGAGCCCTTCCGAATCCTCGAGCTTGTCGAGGGGGACGTCTGTTATTGAGTGCTTTGGCCCTATGTGTGCACCTGGAACAGCCTTCCAATGACCCAGCAAGCCAGTGTCTGTGTCGTAACAATTTACGGCACGGTGACTGTGCAAGTCGCCTGGCTCAAGGGACTGCTGTACCCAGGTCTTGAATGGGCTCAGGCCCACACAAGGCTCAGACACCAAGGGCACGTGCTTCCTCTTTCGAAACACAGCCCCTAGCTCCCACAGCTGCTGCCGGAGCTGGGACCAACCCGGCCTGGCGGCAGCTGTGGCAGGGTCTGCTTCTTCTGCGGCTACACATGCACCCTCCATGGACAGGACACACAGCCACACACCACACACTTGAAGTCTTGTCTCAGCCCCAAGCTGTGAACCGAATCGACGGTGGTCTTGGTCTCTGCACTCATTCAACACCTGGCACGCCTTTGCATAAACAAAACAAATGCTGCATTTTCCATTCACTGCCTTGGGTCATGCAATCGGAGAGCATGCAGCTGAATTCTCTGCTTCCTATGGATGCTCACATCAGGCTGTTAGTCGTGGGGCTGTCATGGATTGTCCATTCAGCACCAAAAACACTAACTCACTTCGTGACTTCGTGTCTCGTCGGCGTAGGCTTCAGAAAGGTTTTCAAAGGCTGTGTGAGGCCCTTTCTTGGACTCTAGGAAACATAGGACAACAACGGCTGACACTCGGGCGATAATCGGCGAGATCCGGACATACAGCACTGTGTCAAGGAAAAAAACACGAAATCGCAGAGATCGCATCCGTTTCAGTCGATTTGCTACCGAATTCCCGCCGAGTTCCCGCCGAGTTCCCGCCGAGTTCCCGCCAGTTCCCGCCGAGTTCCCGCCGAGTTCCCGCCGAGTTCCCGCCAGTTCCCGCCGAGTTCCCGCCACGTTCCCGCCAGTTCCCGCCAGAGTTCCCGACGAGTTCCCGACGAGTTCCCGACGAGTTCCCGACGAGTTCCCTCCAGTTCCCTCCCAGTTCCCTCCCAGTTCCCTCCCGGGGCCCTCCCGGGGCCCTCCCCGGCACCCTCCCGGCTTCCTCCTGGTTCCATCCCGGTTCCCTCCTTGGGTTCCCGCTTCCCGGTTTTGTTTTGGTTGTTTTGGTGGTGTTTTGGAGCCGTTGTTGTATGTTCTATATCTCAAGCCTTGTTTGCCTGTGCAGCTGGTTGCCAGCACAAACAATAGCCTTACGTGATGTCCCGCAGCAGTGCATCGCCAAGATCCCTTCTTGAATTTGTAGGATGAATAAGCGGAAGCGTGGTGCCTCGCCTGAGGCCGCTCGTGCGGCCGGAGCTTCCGCAACGTTGCCAATGGATGTGTGCCTCTCTATTTCCGGAGGCAGTGCAGCGGCTGCGAGAGCAACTGGATCCAACGGGTCCGGCTTGGGCTCCCTCGCAACGGCTGCACCAGCAACTTCGTCCGCCTTGGACTCCTTCGCAACGGCTGCAACGGCAACTTCGTCGGCCGTCGGATCCGCCGCGGGGCAAATCTGGAAGTGGTGTTGGAAGAAGACAGTGCAGGACGGCGGCGAAGTTGTGTGGTGGTGGCAGTGGTGGTCAGAGCCACGTGTCTGAGCCACTGTCACAAGCCACACAAGCCACAAAGCCACAAGTGTGGACCGTGTGGACACTCACGGGCTTTTGCAAAAGGGCTGCGAACTCCTCACAGGGGCCCTGCTACTGGCTCTCGCGGAATCTCGGGCCGAGTGGCCGAGTGTCAACCTTTGTGTCCTATATTGTCCTTTGATGGAGTACAACAGCCTCTTGATTCACACAACACAACTTTCGAGAACCTGTTTTAAGCTTAAAACCATCGTTGAACACTCAGTCACTCAGCTAGCTCGTGAAACGAGGCTACAACCCTTCCGCTGCGGCCCGACTGCGGCCCGCGACCAAGGCCGATCTCCATGCCTCCGTCCCGGGCCTCATCGAAAGCCCTGCCTTTGTCCCGGGCCTATCGCAGCAAATCCTTCCCCAACGAGACAAGATCCGCATACACTCGGAGACCCATGCGTCGGTCACCGAGTGTACGGTCGGAGGAGTCCCCTGTGGAGCCCGGGCCCGGCTGATCATCGGTGCCGGGATCCTTTCTCGGCTTGCTGCGGGCCGGTCGCGATGAGGGCGAGGATCGGCGGGAACGGCTCCTGAGGCGCACTGGCCTTTGCTGTGGCCCGGCTGTCTCCTCCGGCTCAGTCTCTCCCGCTGCCCAAGTGCAACGGTTACTGTGTTGCTGGAGGTCCCACTCCGTCCAAAACTTTCGTCCGCAACCGTAGACGAAAGTTCTCTGTGCATGCCCACCGTTCTGGCGGTTAAGGCAATGGGAGTTATGCATGAGGTGGAGGCTCATGCCGTCGGGATGCACTTGCACCCCGCAGACCGGGCAGGTCACACGGCCCCGCCTGTTGCGGGGCAGCTCGGACAGCTTGAACTTGGCAATGCCAATCTCATTGAAGGGCCCAAACTCCTCGTCTTCGTTCTGCGGCTGCTGGGCGGGGTCCCTTTGCTGGCTGTGGCCACGGCCCCCCTTTGGCCCCTTGTCGCCCTTCTTGTCGCCCTTCTTGCCGCCCTTCTTGCCGCCCTTCTTGCCGCCGGATCCGCTGCTCACAAGCGAGAAGCTCGAATCACGAGGCTTGCCGTCGCCGCCACCGTGGTTGTCGCCGCCACCGTGGTTGTCAAAGCCATGGTGCTTGCCACCGTGGTTGTCGCCGCCACGGTGCTTGTCGCTGCCACCGTGGTTGTCGCCGCCACGGTGCTTGTCGCTGCCACGGTGCTTGTCGCTGCCACGGTGCTTGTCGCTGCCACCGGGCTTGTCGCCGTCACCGTGCCTGTGGCCATCTTTCTTGTCGCCACCACCGTGCTGGCCGCCGCCACCGTGGTTGTCGCCGCCGCCACTGTCGGTCTCTGCCGTTACTGCTTCCACGGCGTCTGCTGATGCTGCGATTGCTCCGGCTGCGGTCTCTGCCACGGCCTCTGCTGCGGCCTCTGCTGCGGCCTCTGCTGCGGTCTCTGCCACGGTCTCTGCCGCGGTCTTTCTCGCGGTGCTTGGTCTTCACCGCGGCATCTTGCTGGTCCCGCCTCTGCGACCGGCGGTCAGCGATGTCATCGTCGCTTGAAGGTGGCACCGCCTCAGAAGCCTCAGGAGCCTTCCCTGGCCGCTTCTTCTCCTCCGACTCACTCTCGTAGGATTCCGAGTCGGAGGCCTGGATCGCCTGAGCCTTAGCAGCCTGGCGCTGGTGGTTTTTCGGAGGGTTCGCCGGCTCTGGTGGCTTCATCGAGCCTCCTCCGTTGTTTTTTGGCTCCGGCATCGCCTGCACAGGTGTCTACTACAGGCACATGACTCCGAACATCACATACGGCCTTTGCCACCTGAACCCCTGAACTCCGAACATCACATACGGCCTTTGCCACCTGAATCCTGGGTTGCTGGCCTGAACCCCTGAACTCCGAACATCACATACGGCCTTTGCCACCTGAATCCTGGGTTGCTGGCCACCCCACCCACTGTCGCCAAAGGCGCCGCAGTGGTATAGGAGCCAGCCGCCCCACCCACTGTCGCCAAAGGCGCCGCAGTGGTAGGAGCCAGCCGCCCCACCCACTGTCGCCAAAGGCGCCGCAGTGGTAGGAGACAGCCGCCCCACCCACTGTCGCCAAAGGCGCCGCAGTGGTAGGAGCCAGCCGCCCCAACCACTGTCGCCAAAGGCGCCGCAGTGGTAGGAGCCAGCCGCCCCACCCACTGTCGCCAAAGACGTCCCAGCGGTAGGGGTGAGCCAGTCCCATTGGATGCAGGAGCATCTGAAACACAAGCCTAAGCCCCCCTCACGGAAACTACCACAAACCCTTTTTCTGACACCCTCGCCGCACCCCTACCTGGCCTCAAAGAACAAGGGCCAGTAGCTCCACCAGGGGGCAGGAGTCATGAAGAGCCCCAGCCCAAGGCTATAGCCAAAAATCTGCAGCAACAGAAATTAATTGGGTCCTTGAAAATGCACCACCACACATCATCATCTCAAACCTCAGAACACTAAACCACACCATCACACATTATCATCTCAAATCTCAGAACACTAAACCGCACCATCACTCTCAAATCTCAGAATACTAAACCGCACCATCACACACATCATCATCATAATCATCATCATCTCAAACCTCAGAACACTAAACCACGCCATCGCACACCATCATCTCAAATCTCAGAACACTACAGGCGGCGGCGAAACCATGTTTGTGCCAGCAGCATGACCTCGTGATTCGTGACTCGTCACCGTTCCGGGCTTACCTACTGAGCAACGGCCTGGGCTAACAAGAGGGCATCTACTTCAGTGTCTGGTGGTTTGTATTGATTTAGACCAGGATAGGCTGAGGCCTCCTGCAACCAACGCTGCAGGTAGGCAACAGCACGACCCTTGCCATGCACCTTGTGCACAAAGACATACAACCTGCAGTTGACATGTCTGTCACACTGCACAAAAGCTCGCAACTGGCCGGAGGCATGGGTGTAATTGTCAAAATACACGTGGCAGCTCCGGCCATTCACGACGATGGCTCTGCTGCTTTCCTTGGGCATGTTCAACTGCAAGAGCTCCGGATCGGACGGAGGCACCTCGCTACCTGCTGCGACACCCGCAGCAGCAGCGGCCAGTACCTCGTATCCGTCCTCTTGCTCTGGGTCGTTGTCCAAGGCCCTGTCCACAGCATCCGTGGCACGTGCTTTGCGGGCGCCCGCAAACTTCTGCCTAATTTCTTCAGCCGTCAACTTTGCCACTGCAGACAGGTCGGCCGAGCTCATGAGGTACTCATAGTACTTCGAAGGCCCGTTGACCAAGATTCGCTGGAGGTTGCCCGGCTTCTGCCACAACAACACAGAAGTCAGCAAGCAGCGAAGATATGGCAACGGCATGCCAAGACCCTGAGCAGGCAACTCCGCAGTGGCATCACGGCAGTGCCACTCAAAGAACTCACTCTCGTCGTCGCAGCGGGGCTTCCACCCCTGTTTAAAAAGCAACCTGAAATATTCTATTTTGGATGTCAGGGCAACCTTTCCCCGGGTTAAGAAGAAGTGGCTCAATTCCCAGATCGCCAATGGTTCGGACCATGTGCATTCGGGCAGCAGCTGCAGGCTGCTGGTGATGCTCAAGGTCAAGTCGCCGAATGCCCCCTCTTCACCCGAAAGAATGCCATGTTGTTGCAGTCTCTGAACAGCAGCAGCATTGAATTCCGACAAATCATCCACCGAAACATAACGCCCTCCCAAAGCCCCGTGACGAAGAAGCTCATGCAACAGATCCTCCTCGGCCTTCAAGAGGACAATGGCTTCAGCAGAAATTCGTACACGATCCGGCTCGTGTTCGACGACCTGCATGTCGGCCTGCCTCCGCCGAAGCTGGTTGCTGAAGCTTGCGGCAGGCTCATGATCCTGGATGAAATCTGGGATGGGCACGAGGTCTGGTTGCCGGCATGCACCTGCAGTCAACACGTTCAAGCTGACGTCGGAAGCCTTCGGAGTCCAAACCCGGCACGAATGCATGAACACCTGCATCCGTGCTTGGTTACAGAAGCTCGCCAGCTCCAGAAACTCTTGCCTGTTCCCGCTGGACTGTACCCGCACTTCTGTGTCCGACAGAACTCGGACATGTGTGTGCAACATCACAAGTATGCTGCTTTTGCTGCGGCCCCGATCCGCCCGAACATCCTTCCGCTGCTCGGGTCGAGCATCCAGCACCGTGAAAAAGTACGGATCCAAGGAAACTGCTGGCACGACCATTTCTGTTCGCAAGCTCAGCCACAAGTCCTGAGACAGCATCTCCTTGCATGGCACATCTGCCTCCTCTTCCGGCTGCCTGGGTGTGTAGCGGAGGGCAAGCTGGAAGGCCTCCTCACCCAGCGACACCAGGCTGCCGTTCCGGAGATGGCTCTTCAGGAAGTGCACAATCTGATGAGGGGCTGGGTCCAGCTTCAACGGCACGGAGTCTTCCGCGCGGGCAGCAGCCGAGGCATCCAGCAACGCCTTTTGGTACACGGCCTGGGCAGTTGCCTCCTCGCTCACGTCCATGAAGTGCTGGTCTGGGTGGTATGCATACACATTCGCCAATCTCTGCACAACTGTCATTCGCCTGACTGTTTGCTTCGGCAAGCAATGCTCAAGCAGGTTTTCCCAGATCTGCCTATCACGCTGGTGTGCTACAAGAAACTGCAGCTGCTGGGGATCATCAATCATGGCCACGACCTGCTTCTCTCGCTTCCGGCTCGCAACAACCGCAGGGCCGGCATATCGCTGGCCTCTCCTCGCAGCATTGCGAATCTCGGAGTGCTGTCTCTCTGTGCCTCGCTCTGCGAGGCTGCAGAAAGAATACTCTTGCACCATGGTCCACGCCTCGGCATAATGGTGCAGGGGCAACTCCGAGTCTGCAAAAGCTTTCAGCTGCCGGCTTTCCAACGTCTGACCGGAAAAGGCTCCAAAGGACACTGCATCCACAAAAGCACCACCTGTTGTCGCCTGGGAATACTGACGAAAGCCTTCCGAAATGGCGGCCTTGCAACGAGCCCAGGGGATGCCAGTGTACCCCCCATATGCTGCACAGAGCACCCAAGGGATGGTCTGTGCATATGCAAACTTCTGCTCGAGGACCACGCGAAGTTGCTCTGTCGCGAGTGCATCTATCGCCGTAACACGTGCTCGGACATCAGCCGGTGCAGCGAGCATCTCCGAGATGTACTCTATGCGGGCCTGGTTTGTAAAGTACTGGATGAGGTCCGTCATCTTCCCGCAGGCCAGCTCTGGAAGCCTCTTCCCCTTCCAGCAACAATAGTGGCAGATCCAGTTTCTTCCATCATTGTCTTTCGCCGTTTGGAGGCTGGCTGGGAAACCAATAAATCCTGATGACACGCACATCCCTCGATCCAATGTGCAAGCCGGGTTGCCGCCTCCGCGAACTTCCCAGCCCACACAACCATCCAGCCATGCATGCTATCTTCAAGGATCTCCGTGATCATGGCCGCACTATCACCAAATTCATGCGGCTTCCAGTGCCTCAGAAGCACCAACCGAAGAGGGGCCCACTGGCTCAGGACACGATGCAAACTGTCCCATCTCCATTCGAGGAGGTTGTCGCGGAAGCTATGCAACGCCTGCTTGTCTGCTGCTGTGCCCGCCCCCGCATCGAGCATCTTAACCTCGACTACTTCTTGGTAGCTGCGGGGTGTGAGAAGTCTGCACAATGTGTTCAACTGTTTGTGCAGTACGTCAAACTCAGGTACACTCTTCACTACAGCCTCCAGGGTGTTGAACACCACGTGCAAAGAACCAGGTATTTCCAAGGCTTCCGGAAAAAAAGGTAGTGCTCGCACCCTCTCATGTGCGGCGGCGGCGGCAGCTCCTGTGTCCCTGGCAAATCCCCGCACTGCCTCCCTGACGTTGGCTGCAGTATCTAAGGGGTATTTGCAGATCAACCGCTCCGTTCCCTGATCCGACAAGAAACCTCTCACTTCACCTCTATACTGTGGGAGAGCAACCGCTGTGTTCTCCAGGCATATGATGTGCAGAACTCGCATGGTCTTCAGAGCTGCCGAGCTCTGACCTCGAGCGATGGTGGTCACTACCATGGTCCTCCGTTCCACGGCGAACCCTCTCCACGGATCTACTTGCCCGCTTGCATCCACTGGCACACGATGGACACTGTCTCTAGTCATCAGTTCTTCTGTGACCAGGAAGTAGTCGTAGTTTGCTTGCGGACTGCTGTCTGCCGACAAAAACCTGACCGTTCTTCGATCTGGCTGGTTCGGCTTCGCGAAAACCCTCCGGCTCAAGCTGTGCAAACAATCCAGCTTCACGAGAATCGTTCGCACGTGGCTCTTGGAGGGATTCACGTCTTCTTGGTTCGTGTTCTCAGCCAGCACATCCATCATTCGAAGCACAGTTTGCACCACCTCAGCCACGGCCGCTGTGGAGCTCAAGGAATAGCAGAGTTTTCCCATCAGAATCTCGGTCATGGGGCGCCTTCGGATGGCCTTGCCTTTTGTCGAGACCTGCACATCCCAAAGAAGATCCGCTACATCGTCCCCTACACCGGCACCATCAGGAGCCTCTTCAGTGTCCCCTGCCTCAGCGGGGCCTGCAGTGTTTGCAGGCTGCAGAAGTAGGGATAGCACGGAAGGAGGCTGAGGCTCAGGAGGAGCAGACGGAGCAGACTCAGACTCTGCAATGGGCTCTTCGGAAAACGTCCGAAACCCCATGCTCCGACAAACCCCTTTAGGTACGGCAAGAACAAGTTCACGGGCTCTCAAACTGTCGAGAATTGCAACCGGCACCTTCCAAAAATTCACCGAGCGCCGAGGTCTCAACAATTCCTGCGGAGCCCCGCAGGCTCTCATATGCTGTCGGCAGAGTTCGGACACAGGCTGCTGTTGCACGATCTGCTTGCCGGGGAATGCATCTTGCTTTCGCAAAATGCACCGCCGGGCCGGGAAGTGAAACACGTTGGCGACGTGCAGCTTACAAAATTGGCCGGCTGAACCTTTCCCAAGTTGCGAGTCCTGGGCTTCCCGGTCCCGTCGTCGCAAAGGTCGAGACATCCACGCATCTTGATGCGAAGCCAACTCACCGGCCGCACACGCATCCGGAGCACTCTGCAGCGACTCTGCGAACTCCACCAAGTAGTGGACCCCGAGACAGTGCACAGTTTCACCAGACACTTCTGCATCAGCTATGTCACTTGCACAAAACGGAACGAACACAGGCGGCTCACGCCGAGCACGAGCGGCATCCGCCTCGTTCTTTTTGTACTGCCGTCTTTTCTTGGTAGCTTCTGGTGTGCTGATTCGTTCCAAATCAGGCTCCATGCTTAAGGTGTTTCGGATTTAGGGTTTAAACAACGGTTTTGTGACGGTTCAGGGTTTAGGGGTGTTTAGGGCCTAGGGTTTAGGGTTTTGTTGTAGTCGAGTAAAATACGGCTGCGACGTGACATCTGACGAGGGGCTGAACACACACATCACACACATCCCACAAAACAACATACCTCAAGACTTAAAAACACAACGCAAGCCACACAATTTTGTCGACCCTAGACTCAAACCCTAAAAGTTTCCAGTCCAATAACCGAAGTCACGTTTCGATATCAAATGCCTGTCCGGTGGCCCAAAATTTTCGGGTACGTGTGTAGATCAAAAAACACCATGTTTTCAGTGAACCCCCCCATGAGAATTACGCGAACCCCCTTTTTACCCCCCCCCCACGGCTGTAGATGAGAACTTCATAGCGTCGGAGTCCGTGTCCGTGCCCAGCTGGAAGAACGGCCGGCGAGGTGTCGGAGTTGTCGATGCGGTAGAAGGGGCAGCAGATGGGGCCGCAGTCGATGGGGCCGTCGATGGTGCCGCAACAGGTGGGAATCGAGGTTCCGAGGCTGGAAACACATTGCCTCGTCGTGGAGCCGACGACTGCCCCCAGGTCGCTGGAGGTCTGGAATCTTCGCGGACTCGTCGGGGAGAGCGTCCACGAGGTGTGTGGCCCTCGGCGATGTCTTCTCGCAGTCGTGCCGCTGAGGACGAATCACCGACAGTGGCGTCATCATCATCGGACGCACGGTACCGTTCTCATTCGTCAAGGAAGCTTGGTTTTGCGTTCCTAATCCTCGAGATTCACACTCGTTTGCGTTGGTGGAAAAGATCTACGATGAACGTTTGGAAAACGAGATGGTGTTGGAGTACAGTGGATCTCCTTTGCTCCCTGAGTTCGAGCGCTACAGGACGCCGGGTAAGATCATGGAGCTGCTCTGCGATATGCCCCGAGGTCCTCACGATGCAACCAAAGAGCAAATGATGCGCTCATGCGCTCTCTTACAAGCGTACTCGAAACCCACCGGGAGAACACCGTCCGGCACCACCACATGAACGAGGGCATCAAGTTTGTCATCAAACATTGGCGACCCGAAGATCTACGACGAGATGCAGATGGCAGAAGAATGAGGGTGTGCCCGGCATGTTACAACATCGTTCCGGCATGCTTCACCCGATGCACATCGTGCTGGTCGCAGTTCATCTCATGCGGTCATTACCAAGGCACCTCACAAAAAAAAACTCCTACGGAGATCCCTAGTGATTTCATTGCTCAGACAATGGAAGCTGCGGCTGCAGCGGTACCAGAGACAACCGCAGAAGAACAGGAGGCCATGGAGACGGAAACGTTGGCAGAGCCCGAGGGCATTCCCGATATGTCCATCATCGGAGAAGAAGACGCAGAACAGGAACAGATGAGGAGATGGATGTCGAGCAAGTGGAGGACTTTGACGACGAAGTTCCAGATAATGTCGCATTGGAACGTCGACCTGTCCTTATCGCTGGCCACTGTTTGAACATCGATCCTGAACTGCAGATTGCTCGCACTGCCATACAACCGCCCTACTACCACAACATGAAGAATGCCCACTGCATCGACGCAAACAAGGCAGCTCTTTCGTACATGGCGTTTGTGGTTTGCAGGTGCATTCACGAAACATGGTCAGGTCTGGCAGAGTGGGCGACGATGCCGTTGTTCCAAATGAAAGAGAATTTCTCCCATGGTCAACGCTATGATGTGCTTGGGAAGTGGGACGAATTGGCAGAAGTCGACTCCGAGACCGGAGTGAGCAGGGAAGTGTCTGATGAGGAAATCATTCGGTACGCCAAGGAAAGAGAAGCCAACAAACCGCCCAAGGATGCGTATGATCCCAACGGGACTTACGCCCTTAAGCGCTTCCGTACGAACCAGCTGATCTCATTATTGATCCGTGGTGCAAACATGATGGGAATCGGCAGAGACGTGTTCGATCCAAGCACCTATCCGAAGCGCGACGAAAATGTGAAGGTTATGCACTTCTGTTGCTTGAATGTCCTCTGCGAAGTCATTCCCATGGTGACAGGACACTCGCAGTTCTCTGTTCTACGACCTACGCCATCTGGACCAGTGGAATTTCTATACATCGATCCGGTGGGGATCCTTCTGATGCACGCGGACTACTCCGCGCAGACCATCGGATTGCTTGTTGACCACAACATCCAGATGCCGGCACACTTCATGAAGAAGCTCACTGCCAGCAGGGTCGAAAGAGAGAGGAATCCGAATGCGCGTCGTCCTGAAGCCCTACATCATATTTCAGCCGAAGAGTATTTACCGCGCGGACAGACCTCCATCATGGATACACCTGTCACGGCGGAGGAAACTGAACGTGCTGCCAAAGCCAAGGCCGGCCCGAGGACCCGAGAACGAAGTGAAAGGCATGGAGGCTGGAATGCCAACTCCTATCACGACTACATCGTCGGGAAGGGCAAAAACAAGGGCAAGGACAAGGGGAAGCAAAGGGCCCCGAATCCAGAGGACGACCTTAGGCCTTGGGAGCGTGATCCTACATCAACTCGCAGGTGGTTGCAACACAACTCGTGACCGGCAACCTCGTTCAGTACGCGACCTCTGCGCTTCGCTCATGAATTTCATTGCGAATGCCTCTTTCTTCGGTGACGCCTGATTCGTTTGTCATTTCAGGGGATCGTCATCGACGTAGACGAGTGTCACGCCCTTTCTAATTGGGATGCAAGGCTCTGATTCCACATTTCGAAGTTGCGGCGGACTAATCCCTAGTGTTCCTATCGCGCCATCTTCCGGGTGAGCAGCGTCGGAGAGGCAACTCATGGGGGGTGCGAGCGGACTGCGACGCCTAGTCAAGTTCTATGGCGTCACGATAAGAGCTATGAGCGTGGCCTTGTATAGGTCAAGAGTGGAGGCACGCTACGCGTTCTCCATCTCTAGGTGTAGGCCTGTGGGCATGCTACGCATACCACAGTGCCGAACCACTTTATCATATGCCGCCCATGCAACTTTGGCTTAAGAATGAGCACAAGCTCTAGAAAGCATTGCCGATAGCTAAAATAGCTTTCGTCTTCTGTGACCTTCCCGAGGAACAGAGCCATCCCGAGCACAGACGATCCATCGCCGGCCGCGAAGGTGTAAAACAAGCGAGCTCTGGATCTGCCTGCCCTGGGAGTAGAGCTTACACGTGGGAGTGAAGGAGAGAGCGTATCGAGTCTGTAGAGGGCAACCACATCATTACCCAACATAGCTCGGTGGGGTGAGCGACAAGGAACATCATCAAGATCAAATCCCCACGCATTTGAAGAACCCATTCACATACCTCACAAGGAAATCAAGCTGCTCAGTAGCATTGCTAATGCCAGAGAATGCCCCATGAGTGTAGCCGCCAGAGGCAGTGGCACATCCCTTGGCTGGATTCCACCTGGTATGCGCTTGGTCCACCTTGTAGTAGACGTTGAAGAACTCTTCCATCAGGCACTCCAGTGCATCAAAGGTGTACTTCTCCCCGGCAACGAGGAGATTCCAGGTGCAGGCAGACTGCGCAGCCCACCAAGAAAAAGGGAATCACCTTATAGCAGCCAGTTAGGTCCTTGGAAGCAACCGTGCTCCGCAGCCAACGCAGCGAGTCGCGCAGGGAGGCTTAAAGGAGGGCTCGATCGCACGCACACAAAGGTGCACTCAGCACCGGTTTTCCATGCGACCACAGAGGTCGGATCCGCGCCATCTATCGGCTCCAGAAACGGGGCCCCTTACTTGAGAGATCAAGCGAGGGACTGGCATGAACGATTGATGCTCACCTGACCGGTACAAGTTGCAGTTACTGTTGATACCTGCGGACTTACCTCTGGGTTTTCCTTTGCCCTTGCCTTTCCCCGTCGCCTTGGTAAACGCTGTTTGGGCTGCGTCTGCGATTTGCACAGATTTCCCATACATATCATCGAGCTCGTCAACCTCAGCCTCAGTCGCTACCGCCGTTTAGGTGTTGAGCTGCATGGCTAGGTCCTCCTCTTCCCAATCAATCATCATCGTCGGGCCTACCCCCAGGCACGGTGGCCGCATAACCTTCGTAAACGCAGCCAACGCCAGGTTGGCAAATTACCATACGCCTGGTCTGAAGAATGATAGTCGGGCTCATCACCGTAGCCAAGACAAGACCGAACTCGGAGTACCGGTCCTTAGATTCCTTAGGGCGACCGAAATTCTTCCAGGGTTTGCAGGGGGGTATGGTGGATCCTTCGCAGTCAACAGTCGTTCCTTCATATGAACGACACTGTGGAATGGACCAGCACCTTCGCATACTCATGAACAGTATCTGTTGGAGCCGCTATTTTCACCATGAGCTGCTCGTGATGGTCGAAGCCTGACAACTCTACTCGGAGACTAGCGCGCGTAGCTTCAGATGGTCTAACTCCCGTAGTGTACTCCATGAGTTTTGTCGCCGGGCGATGTACGACAGCATCGGCTCACACTGCTGCTTGGCCAATGGGCCGGTGACCAACTGTTTCTGGCGGAACGACTCCGATTCTTCCTCGGACGCTTGTTTGCGGATCTCCTGTAGCAGATGGTCTATGTCATCGTGCTTCAGGGGCCTCTCGAGGCCAATGTCTCGTGCGGTGCAAACCGCATCGCCTCGCGAGCCTTCCCGGAACTTCTGGACGCAATCACCCATATTCATATTGACTTCATCGTCCTTCATGTCCTTCAACGTGTAGGTTGCCGGATCTGTGTCCGGGTTGACATCATCCTCGCCTTGTATACCTGGCCGGATGTGACGGGATCGACGCAGCGTCGTCATCTTCTTCCATAGCGCAGGCTCGCCCTTGCTGGCACTTGAGGGACTGGCGGGTTTACCGCTGCTCGACTCACCCTTGGTGGGGTGGCCATTGCTCCCACGACTGCCGCCGCTCTGTGGAGGCTTGCCATTCCACTTCCGTGGCGACGCAGATTGGGATTTCGCATTTGCCTGTGCCCTGAGGTCTTCAAGTACCTCGCGGCGCTGGTTTTCACGGTGCTGGAGAACACGAGTTCGGAACTCCCAGTCGCGAAAGTGCTGCGCCGATCCATCAAAGATATATGATCCGGATTCTGTTTCCGCTGGGCTAGTAGTAAGTATGCGCCCGGGGCATTGGCCGGAACTTCAGCACTGCAACCGACATGGCGCAGTAGCTACTCTACTCTACCCTGCACTAGGTCCCTGGCATGTGGGATCGCAGGAACAGGAAAATCGCGGTGGAATGTGCCCCTTCCTGCTCCACTACCAGGTTGAAGCAGAATCGAGGAAAGCGGGTGCAAAAACCACCGTCACCAACACTACTTGTGCACTCGAGCTCAAGACGCCTGCGTCATGTAACACATTTGCGACTGCATGTACAAAGCAACATCAATGACCAGTCCTACAGACAGCAAGTCATCGGAGCTACAACATACAAGTGTACGCCAACATGGTGCCAGAACAGAGGTGAATTTCACACAAACAATCTGCAACATCTCACAGCCTCTCCATCCTCGCCGCACGTTTGCTGTGGAAATCTGTAACTGCGTATAGTGTGGAGAATCACGTCCTTGTTCACACCGCTCTCGAGCAGGAACTGCACAACCTCTCTCCACAAGTCCGCAAGACGAAGGACGATCCAAGACTCGGAAACGAAAACTTGCAAGAAGAGGGACCTCGAGGTGTCCGTTCCTGGCGGCTTCTGTGATCGGTGCCGAGCCATCGCAGCTGGTGATATTCATGTCCTTGGGAAGGACGGCACATGTAAGAAGGGCTAGGAACTTCGCACCTTTCAAGCTAGCCTTCCCGGCTTTTAAATCTTTTTCCAGTCTCTCGGGGAGTCTCGCGGTATCACTCTTCAGCGTCTTGCCCTCACCCCCTTGAATCGATTTAGGTGATGTGCAGCATCCGCATAGGACAGAAGCTGCATCATCTCCATGTGACCTGCAGTGTTCCGCCCACACGGGTCTCGAGTATCTCTGACATCAATTCGAATTCCTCTTGCAATCAACTTTCCTCGCCTGCGCGGCTGGCCTTTAAGGCTGCAGTTTCACCGTCTGCATCTGTGGCATTGGGCTCCTGTTATGTCAGGGGGTCGCTTAGCGTTCCGCCACTTGCAAGGTACAAGGCTATACCCTGGGCCAGGCACCGCAACGCTGAAAGGCATCATCAAAGATAGAAACCTTGCCACCAGCCTGTGGAAGCAAAAGAGATGCCTCGGCCTCCAGAACACACTGACAATTCACGCTTTGGCTTTCGTGCACTGTAAAGGGTCTGTAGAACTCTGGAACATGGCCACATCGCTGAGCCCAGCCTGCAAGGTGTGCATCGTGCTACAAAGCCGAAAACCTGTAATACGGGGGTGGACAGAATGATTACCACGGTTACCAACACTTTCGCAACCTGCAGCGAACAGCCGTCATTTTGAACAGCATCCTAAGTGCGTCTTAAACTAACATCTCGCCCCCCTCAACACAAAGATGCCTCTTCCACGTTGCCCCTTTCCGCCATGAGCAGAAGCTGCTCGGCGCCTGTTTGTACCTGAGCCCGAAAGATCTCTCAAGGCTCGAAGGCCGACCGGAAGGCCAGGCTGACCCTTCCCGGCCCGGCGGGGCCCTTCCGCCCTTCCGCCCCTTGTGTTTGGAATGCAGCTTAGCTTTTGCTCACGAGGCGCATAAGGGAGCATGTGGAAGACCACCTCCAACGGCTTTCCGAGCGCCTGCGACACGCGTTTCACTTTTCCAAGTTCGACTTCACCCGCGACCAGCCTCCAACTCGTTCAACCACATCTTAGCATCCATGACGTCTTAGATTTGGTGAGCAATTCAGGACGGCGTTTTGCTTCGCAGGGCTTGTGAACCTGACCGTGCGAGAAGCGGAAACGCATTCCCCTAGACCCACATTCCAATGCGAACGGACGGCTTCCTCACCTGCAAGTTGCTGGTGGGTCTCCGAGCATGGCTTTGAAGTTCGCCCTCTCCCCTGTTGCACGTTGGGCTTCATATGCTTCATCCACAGCAGTATGAACGACTGTTCAGTCCTATCGGTTCCGCTGTGATCCCCACCCAAGGGTGGTCCGGCGGCTGGATACAGTGTGGACGTATGCTCCATGGACCACGTTTGCCTGGATTTTCTGTTTGCGTATTTGCAAGGGGCAACTACGATGCGCCGAGTGTATCCGGAACAAGGATGCATCTGGGCTGGCGGGCAAGTCTGCCGTGCCGCTCCCTCCGCCGGCCCAGTAATTCGGCACCACGGTCTTCGGAGTGGCCAAGTATGCGAGTTTGTCTGCAACGGGCCCACTGAGGCAATTGAGTCTGGCAGGCGCGCTTTTTGAGTTCTAACTCCCGAAAAACCCTGAACGCTGACCTGCAAGACCCTGGAATCCTGCGACAAGACCGGAGGGTGGGACTCGCTTTACCATATCATCGTCCATCGGTCCATGCCTCCCATGACTTGGTGACGTGCACAAGCTCGCCTGTTCGGTTTTTCGGCTCTCACTTCAAGGAAGAGGCTTGGGGTTGATGGTGTTGGGCGTATGTCTCGCACTCGGCCCAGCCATGTAAGACCGCGGGACACGGTTACTTCTTTCCGGCACGTGCTGTGCTAGTTGACACACCTTCAACCTGCTCCTCTCACACACAAACCCAAGATTGAACATGCTGGCTGAGGCCGAGCTGTCATGTCGGGACAACATGCCTGGGCTTGGCTTGGCGGGCGGCTCAGACTCAATCCAAGAAAGCCCCTCGCAAAGTGCAGAAGTGTCCTAAACCACTTACACACTTCACACGCTCCACACCTCAGACCAAAGGCCGATTGATCCGGAGCGGAACTTCGCAACTGAGACCCTCGAACCCCGCAGGCTTAGGCAGCTCAGGCAAATCCATCCGAGCGGCCATCTATCATGAGCTGTTGTCGGAGGTAGGGGATTCCTCGCCTCGTCACAACACACATCCGACCTTTCTTTCGGCTGCGATATTCCGGATGGAGCAAGTTTGTGTTGCTTCGGGCGGACACTCCTCAAGCGTTCAGTCTGACCTGTTCTCAGAAGAGAACTTGCTTTCATTGCCACAAGCAGCTTGACGATTTCGTGCTTCAGCAAGCAAGAAGTCTCAGCTTACCATTCAGATGTTAACACAGCTAACGCAGGTGCGACATGATTTGGACCGTAAAAGACTGGCATAAGTGTAGGAAAGGTCTTGTTGATGACATTCGTCAATACTTACCTGCAAAACTGCCATGCAACAGAACGACCCATTAAAGGAAATTCAACAGCTGTGTCGGCCGCATAGCGCTGGCATCAGGCTGCATGATCGAGAAAAAGCCCCGGCTCTGGTGGTCCTGGAGCGAACTTCATCTTTGATGATCTCCACGAAGCCTGCACTCGAGCTGTTCCCGAGCCGAACTCGAACTGCCGCCAACTGAGCCAGCGGCTGCGATCGCCCGCGCTCTTGGGCCTCAAGAGGATCTGTACAGAGCTCTGCCGTGTTGTCACTGCGACCAAACAAAAGTTCGCCCAATGCTTGTGCGTTCGAATCCTGGCAAGGCGCTTGAAGACGTCCAAGTACAGGGCCATAAGTAGGCTCCCGCTCCGCGAGACCACATGCAGCATGGGAGATGGCGGCATAGAATCCGGTTGCAAGCTGAACGCCAGCTAGAGAGCGAGTTCGACTTTGCGATTCTTGTGACTTTCCACAGGCTGTGGCTGCATTCTGTTGCTGGAGTTACCTTCCTGCCCACGGAGGACCGTGTAAATCCCCACTGCTGCCAGCGCCGGACGAACGTCGTAGTAAGTCACAGGACTGGCATGATGTCGGAGAAGACTACAATCCCTTTTGGGGTATCCTGTGCACTTCGCAAGGGTACATGCATGTTCAGCAGCTGTCACAGCTGCAGCGTGTTGAGAGTCAAATCGCACGCAATCAACGCATCTGAGAAGAACCATCTGCAACCGAGTTTACTGTACCACAAACGCGTAAGTCTCGAAGCATGCCTCAGGCTCACAACCCTTCGGATCCTCGCTGCCGTCGACCGGCCGCAGCAGCGCCGACCACGGCTCCCGGCTTCATGACTATATGGCTTCATCGAGCGCTAGCTCCAAGCCACCACTCTGCTTGCTGAACGTGATCTGACTGGGTCCCCACCCCCAGCTTGGGAAGGAGCTGGACTTGGACTACTCAGTCTAGGGACGACTCCACTGCTAAACAGCTTCTTTGACAGGCTTTCCTCGTCAGTTACTACCAATGCTGCGCTTAAACCTGGTGGAGTTGGACAGCTTTCCCTTGTTGCACGATGCCTCCCTTCTTGGAAGGACGCAAGCACGGCAACCCTAAACCTTGAAGCGACAGTGCCGATGCCTCGCAGTATATGATCTCGACTTCGTTTGGCCAAAGCTTTAACTGTAGCAAGCCACGTCTGCTTATCGGTCGAGTCACTGTTCGCAGGCAAACCACACAACATCGCAGACTATGTACTTGGTAGCAAATGTGCTAAGAACTCCCTCGGAGGGCCTACAAATGCTCTTGTGCTGCACGGTATGTCCTGAGGCATCGACTGATAGCAGCAGCCGCTGCCAGGCCGAAGCTCGGCTCACGGCAGATGCCACCTGGGCCGTAGGAGCAACCAAAGCCCGCAGTCCGCTCCACAGTATCTACAGTACAGCAAATTGGGGCTGGGGCAAGATCATCTCGCCATTGACCGTCTCTACCGTCACAACCGAGGGTTCCACGGTGTTTCCCAGGACAGCATTTTGCCGCAAAGCCCCATGCATCAGCTCGGTCAATAGCTGCTGTGCCTGGCTAACTCGGGCCCTGCAGGCTGCTGATCTCAGACACTCTGCCCGGGTTTCCGGGTGAATCGATTTTCCAACAAGACCTTCGCTGGGTCATACACGTCATGGCGAGTGCTTTGCACCGTTGTTGTGATGGAGCCTATCGACATTTCCGAGGGCTTACAGTACCAACTGACCACATCTCATGCCACTACACAAGGAGATCCGCATAAAGACATGTGCTTGCGTTTAGCTTTGAATTTATATCCCAGGGCACGGGGGCCTAATGGGCTGACGAAATTCCACCAGAGGGCTCATAGCTTGCCGAGACCCTTGCGAAGAGGCCTTCTCTGGAGTTCGGATTTGCAGGGCTGATGGTCGCTATCTGCAAACGCTGAAGTTATCGGAGCAGCTGAAATCGGAAAGCCCAAGGCAAGTTGCAAGGTCTTGCCTGGCTCCACTTGCAATTTTGCTCCTTGGCAGCAGCATGAATGAAAGGGGAACCGTTGAGACTGAAAGCTACTGAACTTGGCCGAGGTTCACAGGCACTGGCGACCGATCCGTAGATGACCTGCAAGCATCTGCAAGCTTCTGCAAGCTGCAAGTCAAAGCTCTCACTTGCAGACGTCTCGGTGAAGAGCGACGAGGCTGGCCTGTCCAATCTGCAGCATTGAGACGCTTGCCGAGCGAACGACACCTGAGTCTAGGGTTTTGGGCGGGTCTACGCAGGATTCCGCTCGTTCCTGCTGCCCATTCTGAGAACTGGCAGAGCTCAGAGGATTTGGGAAGCCTTTATGTGGTGCACTTCCACGATGTTCCACTGCGTCACTATCACAGTTTTCGATGTTCCGAAGACTTAAGACCTCAGCATTGTCGAGTTGGACGTGGTTGTTCCACTTTGTAAGGATGGGAGCTTTGAGCGGTGAGCCTGATGTCAAGACAGATTTGTGAAGGCGCTGTAAGGAGCAGGAGGAGCACCTGGTTTTGGAAGCCCCGATACCTAGCAAACCCGGGGCCAATGTGATGTGGGTACAGCGTTTACGTGCCTCTGAACGCTGCAGCCGTAGCTACCCCTACATCTCTCAGGTCTGGGCCGACAGCCAGGTGCCAGGCAGAGCCTAAGTCACCTCAAGCTGGTTTGCGAAAACCGCCCTAAGCCTTCCACTGCCTTCCACCTATTTCCCAGGCTAGACCAGTCATTGAACCACTGGCTGGCCTCGGATCTGGAGCTCCAACTCATACCATCTCAAACCCAGACACACCTAATCCTCGTCATCCTCGCCACCCTCTTCAACTGCAGGAGGGAAGGTCCATGCTAGACTGCATTCAAGAATGAACTATTGTCGCTCTCGGCCACTTCTAGTGGCTACCCGTGGCCGGCAGTGCCACCAGCATCATCATCATCATCACCAGCATCATCATCAGCATCGTCAATCATCACCAATACAGCTTCCAGCTGCGCAGAAGGAAGGCTTTCGAGCCGTCAATTGGCAGCATGTGTTTCGTCCTGTGCAAGTGTCTAACACCATGTCGTTCGGGACGATTTCCTGTCAAGTTCGGATATGTTCGGTTCATATCCTATGCGGACCTTTCGGCTTCGTGCAGCATCTACAATCTAGAAAGGGGCCCGTAAACCACTCGCAATCTAGGAGTAGTTTACGGCTACGGCCTTACCCCACCTTTTGTTCAAGAGGTGGTTTTGTTTACCCTGTTTGCCTAGCCCTATCGTGCACTCTGGATATCTGCAAAACGTGACACTATGCTTCATCGTTGACAGCGAGTTGAAGGGTCCTGCGATTTGTGTTGGTGGAGTTCATTCAACATGCACGATGCAAACTATGCCACTACATCCCGACAGCTTGAAAGGCACCGATACCGAGTGTTCTGTCTGAACGAATCGACTCCAACTTGATCCTCAGCCCAAGATCCAAGTTTCCCGGTAACATTTGCCTGGTAACGTTGGCCGTTTCGGTATGTGAGTTGCGAGAGTTGATTTTGATACTGTTAGTGCACCACCGCAAGGACAGTTTCCGCCGATTGTTTTACATAAATGCATTACACACGATAAGCTCTCTTCTTGCCGAGAAAGAGGTAGAGAACTTTACGTTGTTGTTGAAATGAAAACTGGTGGAGCTCTGTCCAAATTTACCAGGTGCGAGCTCTGAACTCTTTTCAATCTTCTGAAGAGTCGGATGAAGTCGTGGCAAGAGGTAAAGGAGCTGTCTCCTGGCAAGCAGTTGTCTTCTCTTACCAAGAGTAACTTGGAGTGGAAATTTGGAAGAGCTCCACCCCTTCTTCTTGATCGTAAGCTCTCTAACATGTTTTGAAGAGGAGGAAAAGATGGTCAGGAGCTCTCGCGCTTGACTAATAGAGAAAAAAGCTGTTTTCTTCTTATCGACGGAGAGGTTAACAAAGCTCTCTTCTTCCTCAAGAAGTTTTTAACACTCGCTCTATCTCGAGAAGCCGGAATGGCCTCTCTTTTGAGTTGTTGGGGTACAGGACCTGCCAGGAATCTCTTCCTCTGCCAAAAGTAAAGGAACCCGCTTCTTTCCGGTGAAATTGGAGACAGCTTTCTTCTTGTTTTCGATCAGGTAAAGAACTTATACATTGTTTTGAGGCCTGGGGTGCTCTGTCCTCTTTTGCTAGGAGTGAGGTCTCTTGACTGTCCTGTTTGAACGTTGGGTGGAGCTCCACCCTTTCTTCTTGAGCGTATGCTCTCTTCCATCTGTTGAAAACGTATCTTGTTGCCGACTGAGGGGTAAACGGAGCTCTCTTCTTTCTCGATTAGTTTGATAACTTGGAAGGGCCTGTCTCTCTTTTTGAGATGGAGCTCTCGTCTGTCTCATTACATTGGAAGAAACTCTCAGTCTCTTCTTGTCAAGGATGAAGTAGACAACTTTCCTTTTTGGAAGCTAATGGAGCTTTGTCCTCCCTTGCTCGGGGATCTCTTCCTCTACCGAAATGTTACGGAGCTCTCTTCTTGCCGATCAAGACAAGAGGAGTTTTTATTCTCGTTGAGTTGCAGGGAGCTCTCCTCTTGTTTTCGATGATGAGGTAGAGATCTTATGTGTGTTTGTTCAAATCTGCTGGGGCTCTGTCCTATCTTGCTAGGAGGACAATCTCTTCAATCTTCTCAAGAAGAACAGGCGACTTACCATGAGGTAATGGAGCTCTCTTCTAGAGAGAAGCTCTCTTCTCTTACCAAGAAAAACGTGGAGGAAGCTCTCTTCTTGTTCCAATTAACAAAGAAGAGGATTTATCTTCCCTTTTTTGAAGGCTGGGGGAGGGGGGAAGACCAGACTTTCCATTTTCAAAGTCTGGGGAGCTCCATCCTTTCTTCTTGAGGGCAAGCTCTCTTCCATCTTCTGAAGGCTGGGAGGAGATAGTCACGAGCTCTCAAGAAGGAACGTCTCTTCTTGCCGACTGAGAGGTAAACGGAGCCTTCTTCTTTCTCGTGAAGTTGGAGGGTCTTGTCTGCTGCTTTGAGATGGGGCCTCTTCTTTCTCATTACATTGGAGGAAGCTCCTTTCTTGTCGAGGATGAGGTAGAGAACTTATACGTTGCTTTCAAGACTGGGGGAGCTCTTCTAGAAAGAAGCTCTTTTCGTTTACCAAAAGTAACTTGGAGTTAGCTCTCTTGTTGTGTGGTGCGAGAGCCTTGGACGGCATCTTTTCAGCTACTGACGCGGTCGCCATTGCCAACAGACAATCGCATAAGTGCAACCAACGCTAACCTGCGTTGCCGGCTACTTGTGTCTGCTTCCCTCTCGATTTGCGAGTTGGATCTCTTGTCGAAATCCTGACGCCCGCTGTTTTCTGAGAGATTGGAATTGTGTCTCTTCACATAGTACTGCTCCGACTCGTGCTCTAGTCGTTGACAAAGCTTGTCGTCAGCGTCGATAGATACTTGCATCGGTTTAACCACTGCGTGATCTAGTTTTCTATGATGCCTGCTCTCGGTGTCTACATACATTTGCATAAGTGCAGCTAGAGCACGACTCTTGTGGATGAACGACCCACGGACACGCGACTCTCAGCATCCAAATAAACCCTATTTCAGCCGGGGGGAAGGCGAACTTGGGTTGCAGCGGCGTGAACTTCTATTGCCCAGCAGCCATGCGTGATGTGGCCAGGCTGTCGTAGACAGGGCAGTCGGTGGCTCACAGTGACATCTGGCTCCAATTTGTCCCCAGCTGAATTGTTTGCCCTTTGGGTGACGGGGATTGGGGTAGTCGAAAGGTGCCAGCGCGGCTTTGGGCTCACTTCAGCCTCACAGAGTTCCCGGGCCTGTTGAGTCTTGACGGCGAGGCTTCGGACTGCATACAAACAGTGACGAGTGACTGTATGAGCACCTGAGTAGGGGAACGTGTGTTTTATGGCAAATGGCACGAGCGCGCAGGAAAACAAGTTCTGTGGGTTGGCAAAGTCGTTTCCTCTTCTGCTGGCTCAGAGCAGGGTCTTCATGAGCACCCTCGGAGGGTGCCACGGCCGCGGCTTCACTTGGCACTTGGACAGCAGTCCCGCACCTGGTGTTGTGGCAAGATGATTAGCAGGGTTCGGTAGTCACTAGCCGAGTCACTAGCCCATCCTGATCGCCATGTATCTCTGAGTGAAGGGCAGGGTGCTTTGTCGTACGTGTATGTGTGTATTTATGTGTGTGTATATATATATATATATATATATATATATATGTTTGGCACCAAGTTTTCAACGGCACTCTGGCAGAGAGCAACCTTGCCGGTGTGGTAGTTCGTGCTGATAGCGCAGGACGCGGCACAACAAGGAGTGGAGAGAGCCCCGGGGTCGAAGCTTGCTGCAGGCAAGATCGAGTAAAGGAAGGAGAAGGCCCCACGAGCGCCAAGAAGAGTCGAAACCAAGGAAAACCACGAGCATGATATTGACAAACAGAACCCCCCCCCTTCAAAATCGCGCGCCAAGTCAGAGTCTAAAACTGACTGACCCAGAAATCATCATGAAACTCACCAACCGGTTACCACTCAACCCTGCGCAGCCATCAAACCTAATTTTCCTGAGAGCCCCCTCAGGCGCTGGCCGGCTCGCACAGCAGCCCCCAATGTTACCGCGGTGGTCTCACCCACTTCGGTAGCCATCGAGAGGCCCTACAAGACTGTCAAAAACTAAGTTTTTGAACTAAACTCACTACAGTAGCGCTCTGGTGTCGGCAGGGGATACTCCAGATCCACGCCTCGCGCCAGCGTGTTCCCGAGGCCAGGGTACTCGCAGCAGCATTTAAGGCCACGGTGTCCGGCCTTGTGGTCGAGCCTGACAACTTCGAGACTGTTCTTGGGAAACGTCGCTGAAAGCGGATACGCTCTCAAACTGCTTGGTGGCCTCCGGAGAGACCGTCACCCGGCCGCTTGTGCTGTTCTTGATTTCAGGATTCTAGTCTGCCCCTTTCCCCAAACCTTCCCCGAGGCCCCGAGTTGTGTTCTGTTCGGAAATAGCTGGACAAGTAGTGAAAGTGAACGGACTCGGATGTCGACATGTCCCAAAAGTAGAATCCGATGGCCTCGAACCAGCTCCAGGCAAATTGGCCACGCGTGTCCGCGCTGACCTCGGCTGCATGCTCTCATTACCGTCCTTGAGATCACAGCTGAAGTTGTGGCTTGGCCTTTGCATCTGATCTGCAAAATTATCGAGGAGAAAGCGGCCCCTCATAGCTTCTTTGCTCTGAAAGGGCTTCGCCTGCCTCGTTCCTGACATTATTCGTTAGACTCGGATTGCCGAAAAACCTTGAGGGGGCAAAGTTCCCATCAAAAAGACAGGCCTTTCAAGACTTGAGAACGAGCTGCGGAAAGCACTAATCATGTCACGATACATCCTCGAGGCAACCCAACCTCCCACGTTGTCAATTTATCCGCATTTCTCCTAATGGCAAGCAGGACTTGCAGCTACTCCCTGCACAATCTCGGGCTCTGTAAATGCCTTGAGCAATTTGAGCCTGGAGCCTGCAGCTACCATCGCGTTGAGCGCCAAGTCTGTCGGGTGATGAGTCAGCGACCTGGGAAGTCAGGTTTTGCCCGAACCCATCGTTCAAGACCATATTCCGGTGCCCGGATTTTCGCGTCGACATCGGCATGCGTCAGGAGGAAGGCGGTTCGTAGTGCATCGCGCATCACGTGATTGTGGGTCTTAGGTCTGGGCCTTGACCCACGCAAGGCCGCCCGGAAATTAGGGCTCAAATTTGGTACCTCCTTCAACTACTGCATCCTGGCTGTGGAGAGTTCTGACCCGTAGCTCAGTTTAGCGAGCTTCCGTCTACACATCAAATCGAACCGTACATCATGCCCTCAAGTATCGCCAGCACGACTTGTACGACTTTTGGGCCACTGCCTGCTTCACAACTGGTAATGGAAATCACAGCTCTAACTTTCATGCTATGACAGCATCTTTTGAATATCACCACTCGTACTTACAGTGACAATAGTTTTGGCATCCACACATATATACACGGACACGTTTAATCTCATGATCCAGAAACACATCAATGTTGTGATTCGTCGCGTTTCGTCATCGTTATCGCGAGTATGGTGCGCTTACTATTGTTCGGGATCCTGTTTGTAAGGTGTGACTCTCATGATCGTGACTGTGTCTATCAGCTGTGAGCTGTCAGCTGGCTCAGGTAAAGGAAGCCATTTGTAAAGCTGGGCTGCGCTCATGCCTGCACAGGCATAGCAAACACCCCTACAGATTCGCTTCCACGCTCACTGGGTCTTGGCAAGCTTTGGTCTGCCAAAACTGCACTGCCCTGGAAAAAGAGCTGAGTGCACGAAATGAGGCCGGCATACGCTTGCCAAGGCGTTGTGGCCGTCTTGGCGACTCAACCGAAACTAGGGCCAATACGGTCCAATCCGCAGGCTCGCAGAGGTTGGTTTGAGGCTCAACCAGAAACAGCAAATTTGAGCTGGTAGGTTTGGGATTGAACACGCAAGGGCCAATTGGGCCTCGCAACAGTGCTCTGCAGGTTGTGCCACCAATGGCCAGCAGAGTACAAGTTCTGGCGGACCGCAACCTCCATTAGACATCGCCGGCGTGGGAGGTGCGGTGTCACTAACTCGAAGCCCATCCGCATGAGGCGCGCAATCCTTTCAGGGTTTGACTGGGTTTGCGCAGCCTGCTTTTCCTGTTGACGCTTTGAATCAATCCGGTCTGTCCAAAATGATACTGATACTGTATTTCTAACGTCAGCAAGTTCGGCCCAGCATCACCAAATCCCAAACGCGGAAACCAGCACCAGCACGACCAACCACCACCATTACGTCCACCACATCCATCGCGATCACGACAACCAACGGACACAAGGATCACGACGACCATCGTGACCACGACGACAAGGACGACGACCACGACCAATAACAACCACAACGCACGACGACCGCAACCACCGCGACCACCACGACCATGACCACGAACCCTGACCAACATTGCAACAGCACCACGACCCCGACGACCAACGAGGACGCAGCTCGAAGAGCCAAGCAGCCGATGATGGCTGCGAGAAAACTCGCTTGCAGCATCTTCTTCTTTACCAGCAAGGCGTACGGCGCTTCGGGCTCGTTTTGTAGACTTCCAGGATCTGCCGCAGTTTCTGAACTGCTTCCCATGCGACATCGGAAGGAGTGTGGAAAGCGGCTGAAACGACAGAAAGCGCTAGAGAAACTGGCAAATTGTGGTGCGACAAGTTGTCGGAAGCGTCAAAAGCTGCATTGAGCTCGGGCTCCTTTACTCTTATAGGCTGGTGGCACCAGTGAAATACAAGCATCTTCGAGAAGGAACCCTCCCAACCGGCATCTCCAATAACCACCTCATTCGTGTCATTTAGGACGGAGCCGCGGATCTGCACAAGGTCGCTTGGCAAGGAACTCACGGTTATTCTCTCGGCATGGAGTCCCAAAAACAGATGCAGGCCTCGCTGGTCAATCTCCAGCGGGTTCTCGTAGTACCAGGCCACAAATTGGGACATCCACAGGGCCGTCGCAGCTGAAGCTCGGAGATGGAACACGCCGATGTTGATGCAGTCTGCATCCGCGTGGCGGGCAAAGAGCGCATCCCACCCTTCGGCTGAAGACAGTATTCGCCTAGTTGGGTCTCGGAGCCAGAAGGTGTCCATGTCCGTGTAAATTACATCGATGCCAAGATGCAGCAGTGCATGTATACAAGTAAATCGATGGACCTGCGACCGGGTGTCTGGCGTCCAGCAAATCACCGGTATGTGAGCTTTCGGTGAGTCGCCAGCTGATAGCTCCCGGCACGTGTTGGCGGCATCTTCCCCGATGGCGATTACAACCAGAGGATACACAACATGCAGCGAAGACAAATGACGCACCAACCGCTCCAAGAGGTAAGCCCAAGCTCCGCCATACCTCGGTTGACGCTGCAGAGTTTAAGACAACATGTAACATGCTTAACAAAAACGGCACGGTGCTTCAGCTTCATCCTTCTCGGAACCGAGTGTGATCTGCAATGTGAGCTTCTGAAGGCATCGGCCGTGAGGAGTCCTTTCACGACCCGCCATTCGCGCTCTGTGTGCCTGTGTGTCTGTATGACAATGTATGTAACATGTATGTATGCATGTACCCATGTACATGCGCATGCACGTAATTTGTGGGCATGAGCATGGGTGTGGGTGCGCATGCCCGCATGAGCACATGTGTGCAGACATGCAAAATGTGCACATGCCTACCATGTGCACACGCGAGTGGGTGCCATGCCGTTTCGTTCCTGAAACCGTCCCAGCTGCAGCAACACCACATACGCCAGCCTCCGTGCCAGCCCCTTCTTTTCCGAAATTGCTGCTATGGCCTGAGCTGCGTGGATCAAGCTGCGGACCATTGGCCTGAAAGGTCCCTCTTCGTCTTCCCGACGGATTGACTTTGCCAGGAGGGCCTCTGCATAGCCAGTATGGTCCATGCTCACCAACCCTTCTACCTGCTTGGAAGCCTGTGCAGTCCATTCTGGCGACAGGAAGGCATTGTGGGCGGGCACCAGGGGGGAGAGTTCGTCATTTCTTAGGTTCCAGTCGCTGTACAAGCGCTTGTACTTGCGATCGCCGGGTCTGAACCATGATCCTTTGTTCATGTCGTAAAACATGTCCAGGGCATGCCACACAGGCCAAGGTGAGCAGGAAGTGTCATGAAAAGGAATGTTCCACAGTGCATGGTCTGTGATCGACATGTATCCGGGAACGTGCTCCGTCATGGCTAAAGCACCAGATATGCTAACCAGTCCTACAGACAAAAGAAAGAACAAGCCCACGGGGCACTCATCAAAACTCATACTTGCATTTATGGCAGCTTCATCGCTGCAGTCCAGGACTTCTTTTGCCAAGGCATTTCGGATGTGATTTTGCTCCAGGGTTTCCTCTGAGTATAATACCGTCAAAAATTGCCGGCCGAGCTGTCGGCACTCGACCCAGTTTATCACGCCTTCTCTGGCATGGTCACATGTCAAAGTCGGATCATTGGTGTCGTAGAAATGTGAGAAATGTGCCAGAATTGGGAAAATGGGCCAGCGTGTAAGGCCAAGGACCAGCGTCGTGTGGCTTTTGAGGAGGCTTTGGATTAGATCTACTACGTCTTGGTCCCAATGGCTTTGACCGACCTGCTCGTAGAAGTACAATATGAGAAGGCACAGAGACCCAAGTGGGCATTCCTCGCGCGATCTTTCAGGAATCGAGTAGGATCTGGTCATTTCTGTCTCCAGACCTGCTTCGACCACTAAATACTCCAAGCCGCGTGGAAAGGAGAAATCCGTTTCGACCGGCTTTTCAGACAAATTTGCTTGAACACGCTCGTACACGCTGTTCCAGTCGATGATGCTTCCTCGTGAGCGCACTGACGCGCAGTCGTAGTCTGTAAAAGCAGGAGCGCCCCAGGCTTGTGGCAACAAACGAGCCAGGCAAACCATGGCAGTCGTATGTCGAAACGTCTTCATTGCTGTGCACTGGGCCTACTGCTACGCTGGTTTGCTGAACCTTGCTGGCACCAGTTTCACTTGATGCCCAACCCCAAAACCCCGCATGAGAACCACCCCGAAAGAGCTTTACCAAATTGGTGAACACACTCTCCAGCCATGGAGGCCCTCACCCAAAAAAGCGAAAGCCATCATAGCCAATCCAACGGAAGTCCGCCTCTGGAGCTCTCCACACTCCAAAGTCTCAAGTTGCTGTATGGGTTCGACAGGCCTAGACTCCGATGTAAAATGTATCTAGGGAATTCGGCAAAGCAATAGTAGACTAGGTGAAACGAGCTCACCCGAGGGCCACGGGGGTGCCAAACAGGCAGGTGTACGTGGGCTACTTGTGATAATTAGCAGCAACAGCATCACCAGCAGCGGCAGCAGAAGTAGCAGTAGCAGTAGCAGTAGCAGTAGCAGTAGCAGTAGCAGTAGCAGTAGCAGTAGCAGTAGCAGTAGCAGTAGCAGTAGCAGTAGCAGTAGCAGTAGCAGTAGCAGTAGCAGTAGCAGTAGCAGTAGCAGTACAGTAGTAGCAGTAGCAGTAGCAGCAGTAGCAGTAGCAGTAGCAGTAGCAGTAGTAGTAGTAGTAGTAGTAGTAGTCAGTAGTAGTAGTAGTAGTAGTAGTAGTAGTCTAGTAGTAGTAGTAGTAGTAGTAGTAGTAGTAGTAGTAGTAGTAGTAGTAGTGGTAGTAGTAGTAGTAGCAGCAGTAGTAGTAGTAGTAGCAGTAGTAGCAGTAGTAGTAGTAGTAGTAGGCGCAGCAGTAGTAGCAGCAGCAACAATATCAGTAGCAGCAACAGTGGCAGCAGCAGTAGCAGAAGCAGAAGCAGAAGCGGTAGCGGTAGCGGTAGCAGTAGCAATAGCAGTAGCAGTAGCCGTAGCAGTAGTAGGAGCAGGAGCAGGAGCAGGAGCAGGAGCAGGAGCAGGAGCAGGAGCAGGAGCAGGAGCAGGAGCAGGGAGCAGGGAGCAGGGAGCAGGGAGCAGGGAGCAGGAGCAGGAGCAGGAGCAGGAGCAGGAGCAGGAGCAGGAGGAGGAGTAGGAGTAGTAGTAGTAGTAGTAGTAGTAGTAGTAGTAGGAGAGGGTTGGAGTTCGGAGTAGTAGGAATAACAGCATCGGTGGCGGTGGTGGTGGTGGTGGTGGTGGTGGTGGTGGTGGTGGTGGTGGTGGTGGTGGTGGTATGGTCGTGGTCGTGGTCGTGGTCGTGGTCGTGGTCGTGGTCGTGGTCTCGTGGTCGTGGTCGTGGTCGTGGTCGTGGTGGTGGTGGTGGTGGCGGTGGTGGTGGTAGTGGCAGTGGTAGGGGTAGTGGCAGTACTAGTGGCTACTACTGCTCATCCTCCTATTGCTCTTGCTGCTGCTTCTCCTGCTGCCTCTGGTGCACTGCCACTGCTGCTACTTGTAGAACCGTTCTACAGTTGCTCTGCGAGAGAGGCGACCTGGCAGCTCACGGCTGCCGCGTGGCACCATTGCCCAAGAGATGCTAGCCGGTCACTAAAGTTTCTGGTGCTGGTCGCCGGCAGCATATATTGCACGGCACCCTACTTTCCCGTGACACTGGCAAACTCCACTCCCCGGGCCGGCAGCCATTACTGCAGTCCTGTGAAAATATCTGCTTGACAGGGACAGACAGCTTCAATGCTGATCAAGTACTCGTCCCATCCCTCAGGTTTCTTAAGCGACGTATGCAACTATAAAGCTATCCCAAACAGACCCCCATTGTACTTCTAATCTCGCCGAATTGCAATAGCCTAGCGTTGCATGCCCGGGCCAGAGAGAAACTCTTCTGAAGGTGTTCATGCAAAAAAACGTGCGCATATTCTATACATGCACTCAACCTGTGAGACCTACTTTTCTTGTGTCTTTCGTCTCGAACTGATGAGGGGCAGCGGTTTCTTAAAAAGGGGCTGTTCAACAGCTGGACTGATGGGGCGCATGCGAGCACTCATGGGGCACTCTGAGGACTGAGAGGGCGCCCCTGGTTTTAATATCAGAACTCTTGAAACATTGAACTCCGCGCGGATGTGGCCTCGGACTGATGGGGCGCCCGTGGTATTGAAATCGGAGCTGTGATGAACTTTGAACTCCAAGGATGGAGCCGTAGGATGCCCTGACTCAAAAGCTAGTTACAATTTGTAACCCTTGAACTCCGAGGATGCAGTCTTGGACTGCTGGAGAAATCAGTGGGCGCTGTTGCCGCACTGAATGCACTGTTGTGGAAGGGACGTTCCCGACACAGGTTCTACCTTAGGTGCCTCGACTGCACCTTTCGCGGCAAACGAACTCACGGCCTTGGCCATCGTTTGCCTTTTCTCCGGTTACTCTGCCATAACATTCAGATGGGCTTGCTATTCTGGGTTCCACGCAATGCCAGGGACCACCGTCCAGGAGCCGTGGACGTGCCTCGGAGCAAGGTGTTGCCAGGAGACGACAGCAAGTGCCTGAGCAATTTGCCTGGGGTTTGGCTGAAATTCTTCCGAGTTCAGTTACAAGTGCAAGAACAAATTAAACCACTGTGACATTGACAATGAGTGACCACAGCCTGCGATGCACACCGGTCGTTGCAGCGCGTTTCAGACTTACAACTCTCATAGTTGGCTTCGAGGGCTCGGCGATGAGATGGTATTCATATTAATCAGGGCATGGGCATACGCCCTCCCACACTGACTCCGGATGTCAAGCTAGCCCAAGCATCTTGAACAGGGCTTTCTGCATACTTGGTATAACAGTCAGATTTGGACGAGGGTTTGCGATGCTCTTGTGGTAAGAAGTGCAGATCTGCATGCTCTTCTGCCAGCGATGTTCGAAAAGGCTTTGCTCCAGTAACGATACTTTGTAGATTGCAGGAGGTGGTTCGATTGTTACAGACACTCGTCTGGTCTTTCTGTCTCGCTTTGTCGCGCATTCATCAACGTCCGACTATTCAAAGTCCGACTCTCCCAGTATGGCTATACTACAGCCTCATCCCCAATCTCCAAGCGCACCAACTGAGAAGCCACAACAACTGACATTGTAGGCTGCGGGCACAGCTGACACATGCGTCATCTAGAGAAACCTATGCCGGAGTACATGCTTTGCATATCCAGCTGTCGGATCTTCACTCGGCAGTCTTCTCCCAAGTCTTTGCGCAGCTTAGGCTTGCGTGGAAGCTGCCCACCCCCCCGATCGCCAATTAATCGGGCATCAAGCAGTTGTACATCTTCTCAGGCGGCGGCACGACTGAATGGCCGCCGGCAGGGCACTGCCAGCACCTGAGTCTTGGATCTAATCTAGGACGTCTCTCCTAGTGAAATGCAGGCCTCACCATTGCATTCCCAACAGCAAGCCAAAGCACCTTGTAAATCTCCGACATGCCACAACCACCGCAGCAAAGCAAGTGCCTGCACTCCAGCTGCAGGCTGTACCCTGCGATTTCACTCGCTCCAAAACACAGCACGGACTCCGTACCCAAAGGCCCGAGCCGTGACAGCAGCAAGCAAGCGACCATTCGTTTTGCATTTGTGCTTGTCATTGCGTGTCGCAGGCTGTCGAAAGTATAAAACTGACAATATCTGACAATGCTGCACGAGGAGCTTTATCGGCTTGGTCCAAGAATCAAACTAATCCTGCTAATGCGTCGGAGGCCGTGATCTGCGTGGGTTTTGCTTTTCACATCCCGTGGCCCCCATGGCTCCTGCAACCAATGCTGCGCCGCTGTTGCCCCGAAGGCGCTCTGGGAGGTCGCCTGAGTGATCTCAAGATGTGCGAAGATCCGCGAGGCCTTGGCCTGAACTCCAGCAGTGCCCCTTTAAGACCAGCTGCTACCCGCCCAGCGCGCAGCGAGACTAGAAGTCGCAGCGCGCCTGCCCAGAACCGGCCTCGGAAGAAAAGAGCGTAGTATTTTCTTGCCTCACCGTTATTGCCATTTTGCCGCCATCATTGGACTAGACGTCCAAAATAGCCTGTTTGTCTCAAGGAAAACTGCGTAGGCCAGAGCCGGCGTATAACTTGTAATGTCTGACTTTCTCACGCTCCTCTCTGAAACTCTTAAAGCTGTCACTCTTAAGATGGAGCTTTTGGATGAATTTGTAGATTCAGAAGTGGAAGCCATCATTAAGATGCTGCTTGTTCTCAGCTTTCGGAGGAGAGAGCTGCAAGTGCCACCTGCCATCCCCAAACATGTGCCTGCGCGAGTTGTCGAATTCTGGGCTCTGGTTGGACAGTGATTGACATGCCGGGCAGATTGCTTGACCCCAGCTCCAAATTGAATCCCGCCAACATCTAAAATCCAGACATTGAGCATGCGAGGCCGATCTCGCCTTGACCACAGCAATCCACCGCGAGTCCAAAGGACACCTTGCCGCCGGTTGTTGACTTCCTTTGAAGGGTCTATCGACTTCGTCACTGGCAGTACTATGACTATGACCATTTCGTCAACTTCGACTCAACAGTCGTGTGCAAAGCAACAGACTGCAGGTGCTTCTCTTGAATGCAGCATAGGCGCAAGCCGCGATGCTTGGTTGTGCTGCAAACATGTGTGCGGGTTTGTGTCACAATTGCTTCGGCCAGTGAGCACATCAATTGAGTTTTTGTGTCAGGAAGTGCCGTCTGCTCAAATACGATGCCTCCTGCTGCTACTTCCGCCATCACCCACCACCAGCACCTCCACAGCCACAACTGCTAACGATTCGCCTGGAATGTCACACAACTCCAAGAATCAGGTCGGATGCAAATAGACAGTCCCTGTGCAAGCTTTGGGTCCTGCCAAGTTCACTCCCGGCAAGTTTCCCCTCGAAGTCCAAGCCCTCTCCAACACCCGCCGTCCACACCCAAGGCCACATGAACTCTGTCTCCGAAATCCCCTGAAATATGTCCTTGCCTCGTCCCTGCACTGCAAAGGGAGCTGGTGAAGGGACACGGCCCATCGCCCGGCATTCACACATGGAGCCTCGCACAGGTTGGAGCCTTCGAGATCCAGTTTTTGGAGAGCTCCGAGAAAGAGTCGTCTG